TCATAGGTTGTTAATGAGTCTTCCTCCAATCCTGATGCCACATTCTTCTTCATATAGTTCAGCTTCTTGGATTATGTGCTCAGCATACAGATTTTTGAGTTAGTATGGTGAAAGGATACAACCCTGACACTCTCCCTTCCTGATTTTAAACCATGCAGTGTCCCCTTGTTCTGTTCGAATGACAGTTTCCTGATCTATGTACAGATTCCTCATGAGCACGATTAAGTGCTCTGAATTCCCATTCTTCTCAAAGTTATCCATAATTTGTTATGATCCACATAATTGTGGAATGGTTTTGCATAGTCAATAAAACACAAGTAAACATCTTTCTGGTATTCTCTGCTTTCAGTAAAGATCCATCTGACATTAGCAGTAATATCCCTCATTCCACATCCTCTTCTGAATCCAGCTTGCATTTCTGGAAGCTCTCTGTCAATATACTGCTGCAAGTATTTTTGAATTATCTTCAGTAAGATTTTACTTGCATGTGATATTAAAGATACTGTTCAAGAATTTCCACATTCTGTGGGATCACCTTTCTTTGGAATGGGTACAAATATGGATCTCTTCCAGTCAGTTGGCCAGGTATTGTCTTCCAAATCTCTTGCCATAGCTGAGTGAGTGCCCCCGTGGGGCATCCATTTGTTGAAACATCTCAATGACTATTCCATCAATTCCTGGAACCTTGTTCTTCACCAATTCCTTCAGTGCATCTTTGACTTCTTCCGTCAATACCATTGGTTCTTAATCACATGCTACCTTCTGAAATGGATGAACATCAATCAATTTTTTTTTGGTACAGTGACTGTATTCCTTCCATCTTCTTTTGATGTTTCCTGCATCATTCAATATATTGCCCATAGAATCTTTCAATATCGCAACTTGAGGCTTAAAGTTCTTCCTCTGTTCTTTCAGCTTGAGAAATGCCGAGCATGTTCTTCCCTTTTCTAACTCCAGGTCTTTGCACATTTCATTATAGTAATTGGCTTTGTCTGCTTGAGCTGCTCTTT